GATAGAGACGTGCTAGAGCGGTGAAAACACGTCAGATGTGTTCAGCTCGACGATACGGATCGACTGATATGCAACATGACCCTTTTCGGTCAGGTCATGACCTTGACCTGAGGTCAAATTTTCAAAATGACCTTTCAAGGTCAACAAATAGTTCATTCGACGCGTCTCGACGAGAGGAACACGATGCTGGCAAAAGTAATGTCATGGCGCTTATGAGTCAAAAGTTATTGACGAAAAAACGTTTTTCGTAAAAACGGCTATTTTTTAAGTTTTTGCCCTCTGGAGGCTAAACCGTTGACCTGAGGTCAAATCTGAGAACATTACTCAGAAAGGTCTGTAAAAGGGCTATCGAATGCGCTTTTCCGCGGCGCTGTAGCTCTATCGGTTCCCGAGATAGCCGTTGGCAGTTTCCAAAATGTTGAAATAGTCAACATTTTACCTTTGGTGACCTCTGGTGACCTGACCTTTGACCTGACCCAAAAAAATGACCGAAGTGTTTTCGTCCTTATTTTTGACGCTCTTTCGATTGCCGCTTACCGCGTGTCGCTACGTGGCCCAGGAGCCGAGTTAGACGGGGGGGGGGCGTGAAAACGCCCCCCCCCCCAGCACTCGGCGGAAAGTTCAGGCCACCAGCACGGCGCGGGTTAAGCAAGCTAAAAAGTATATCATTCGACGGGCCTTGACGTGCTGAGTTCACTGGTGCTTTTACTTTTGCTCTATCTTAATTAGATTAAAAGTTATAAGCGAAAACCTTTTGACCTGTTTTTAGCGAAATTTTTACATTTATACCCCCAAAAACCCCCCTAAATACTGACCTAGAGCAACCAAATTTGCACAGGGGCGAGAACTCCAGGGGGCCCACCTACCTACCAAATTTGGTGTTTCTAGGTGCCATAGGAGCCAATCGCGAGGGGGGGTCGCATCGACCCCCCCCCCCCTGCCAGACGGTGTTATGAAAAATGCCCTGCCAGGGCGAGGGTTAATCCGCGCCCTGCTGGGGGGGGGGGGTGTTTGAACACCCCCCCTTGTGTTTTTTCGGGAATATCTCAAAAACGGCGGCGCGGAGCGCCGCCGTTTTTGGTACACCTTATCATACATCAATTCTACACATGTTGTGAAAATTTCAGACCAAGGTCATTCAAGGTCAGGTCACCAGGTCACTTGAAGTGACCTCACCTCATAAAAAGTTTCAATGTCTGTCATAGCTACACCGAGTGACCGATCGCTTTGAAACTTTCAGCGATTGCTAAGAGCAATAGCATGTACAAAATGTATATCTCAGAATTTTGATATCGATGACCTAAGGTCAGGTCATTTTTGCGACCTCCCCATTATAAGTCAATGGGAGAAAATTGAAATGCGCCTCTTTTGGATGAAAGACATTATAAACACTCTCAAACACCGAATTACAAGTGGTTTAGACATACTGAACATGAAAATGGTGTCCGTGACCCTTGTTTATGCCCTGAGGTCATCTTAGGTCACGAATGGTATCTAACAGTTTTTCGCAAATAACTTTTGATAGAGGCATGCTAGAGCGATGAAAACGCCTTAGATGTGTTCAGCTCGACGATACGGATCGACTGATATGCAACATGACCCTTTCCGGTCAGGTCATGACCTTGACCTGAGGTCAAATTTTCAAGTTGACCTTTCAAGGTCAAGTTATAGTTCATTCGATGCGTCTTGACAAGAGGAACACGATGCCGGTAAAAGTAAGCTCGTACAGGGCTTGGGTCAAAAGTTATTGCAGAAAAACTGTTTCCGAAAAAATCGGCTATTTTTGCAGTTTTTGCCCCCTGCAGGCAAAACCGTTGACGTTAGGTCAAATCTGAGAGAATTACTCAGAAAGGGCGTTAATAGGGCTATCGAATGCGCTTTTCCGCGGCGCTGTAGCTCTATTGGTTCCCGAGTTATGCGTTGGCTTCTCGGAAATTTTCGCCATTCGACCTGGAAATCGGCGAAATTTTGCCTTCAATGACCTCTGGTGACCTGACCTTTGACCTGACCAAAAAATTGACCGAAGTGATTTCGTCATTATTTTTGACGCTCTTTCGAACGCCGCCTTCCGCGTATCGCTACGTGGCCCAGGAGCCGAGTTACAAGGGGGGGTGTTCAAACACCCCCCCCCAGCAGGGCGTGGAAATCCAGGACCCCCAGCCGGGCGCGGGTTAACCCGCGCCCCAGTGGCGGTTTCAGCCAACTTCGCCCTAGTGTGTGGGGGGGGGGGCATATGTTACCACCCACCTCTAACTCAAAAACTAAGAGGGCTAGAAAGACGCGGTAAAAAGCAGTCGATAGCTCTCAATAAGTACGTTTGAAAGTATTTGGTCACTTTTCATCTTAGAGCAATATTGGGGTCACCAGAGGTCATCAAAGTCAAAATTTGCCAATTGTCATTATATTTTTTCAGAAAACATGCCGCTATCTCAGGAACTATGGTAGCTAGAAAAACGTATGAAAAGCAATTGATAGCCTTTAAACTCTTCTTTTGAAAAGGTCATATCAATATTGACCTCAGGTCAACGGTTTAGCCTCCAGAGGGCAAAAACTCCAAAAATAGCTGTTTTTATGAAAAGTGTTTTTCGACAATAACTTTCGACTACAAAAAGCCACGACATTTCTATTGCCAGAATCGTGTTCCCCTCGCCGAGACGCGTCGAATAAACTATAATTTGACCTTGAAAGGTCAACTTGAAAATTTGACCTCAGGTCAAGGTCATGACCTGACCGGAAAAGGTCATGTTGCATATCAGTCGATGCGTCTCAACGAGACAAACACAATGAAACCATCCCCAGCGTTCTATCTCTTTCCAATCGCGAGTTATTGGCAAAAAACTGTTTGTAGCCTCAAATGACCTTGGATGACCTTTCTAGAGGCTATCAGCAAAAATGACACCTTGGTCATCACGAGTGGACTAAATCATTGTGATTCTGAAATATTTGGACTGTTCCTATGCGTACATACGGATCTAGAGGCATTTTCATTTTTCTCCTTTGACTTGTAATGGAAAGGTCACGCCACTGACCTGACCTTAGGTCACGGATATAAAAATCCGAGATATGCAAATTGTAGGTGCCCATAACAGCATGCAATCCACGAAGTTTAAAACCTTTCTGACAAACACTGCAGGCTGGACATGATTGCAAACTTTTTTAGGCTTGGTCAGTTAACTTGACCTGGTGACCTGACCTGACATGACCTGGGGTCAAAAATTTCACACATTGTCCAAAATTTATGTACCAAAAGCTACCCCAAGCGGCGCGGCGCTACGCGACGCGGTTTTTTATTCACCCGCGAAAAAAGCGACAGGGTGGTAACATATGCCCCCCCCCCCCCACTGGGGCGAAGGTTAAGGGGTGGGGGAGGTTTGGGGGTATAAATGTAAAAATTCTGCCAAAAATGGGTCAAAGGTTTTTTCGCTTATAACTGTTGAACTAATTAACCCGCCCCCGTAGGGGGGGGGGGAAGCCGAAACGGCCCGCGCCCTGTCCTTTTCCGTCGATATCTCCTATACGGCTGGAGATATTTTTTTCGCTTATAACTTTTGATCTAATTAACCCCCCCCCCCTCCCTGCAGGGGGCAAAAACTGCAAAAATAGCCGATTTTTTCGTAAACAGTTTTTCTGCAATAATTTTTGACCCAAGCCTTGTACGAGCTTACTTTTACCGGCATCATATTACTCAAGGTCAGGTCAAGGTCATGACCTGACCGGAAAAGGTCATGTTGCATATCAGTCGATCCGTATCGTCGAGCGGAACACATCTAAGGCGTTTTCACCGCTCTAGCATGCCTTTATTAAAAATTATTTGCGAAAAACTGTTAGACACCATTCGTGACCTGAGATGACCCCAGGGGCATGAATAGGGGTCACGGACACCATTTTCATGTTCAGTGTGTTTAAACTACTTGTAATTCAGTGTTTGGGAGTGTTTATAATGTCTTTCGTCCAAAAGAGGCGCATTTCAATTTTCTCCCATTGACTTATAATGGGGAGGTCGCAAAATTGACCTGACCTTAGGTCAACGATATCGAAATTCTGAGATATACATTTTATAGATACTGCTACCCTTATCAGTCGCTGAAAGTTTCAAAGCGATCGGTCACTCGGTGTAGCAATGGCAGACATTGAAACTTTTTATGAGGTGAGGTCACTTCAAGTGACCTGGTGACCTGACCTTGAATGACCTTGGTCTGAAATTTTCACAACATGTGTAGAATTGATGTATGATAAGGTGTACCAAAAACGGCGGCGCTCCACGCTGATATTCGCGAAAAACCACAAGGGGGTGGGGGTGTTCAAACATCCCCCAGCAGGGCGCGGGTTAATTGGGTTGTATGACAAATCAGCGAAACCTAGTTTTTATACTCGTATTTTGCAGCGTCTAGTAAATTATGCATGAACATGACGTCACATTTTAGACTGACGCCCCTGTCGCGAGCTGACAATGGCGCCCCTCTCAAGGGAAAAAGTCGCCCCCTCGAGCACCATGCCCCCCCCCACTTTCGCTGATTTCTGGATACGCCACTGTACCCCATGTACCCCACGGTGGCGCCGCCCATGCCCGCCGTATGCGGGTCAGCAGTGGGCATTTAGCGCCTGAGCGATACTCGGGCGCCACCTGCCCGCATACGGAGAGGACTTATTTTGTAGACCTCCTGTACACTCAAGCGCCAGTGAAGGCCCTCAGCACTCAGCAGCCCGCATGGCCCCCACAACGAACTGTGGGTGTGCAAAAATAGATGTCTGCACACCCTCGGGATTTTCAGGGTGTACAATTGCACACCCCACCCCCCGGAAACCGCGGTCCCTGATAGCAACTCGCGAAAGTCCCACAATATCACACACAAACAACGTTGTTTGTGTGTGATCTGATCGGATCATCGGATCGAATAGGATAGGGACAACTAGCGAATCTTATCAGTTTGTCCATTTACAGTCTCCGCTGTCCATTTGCATATACCGACAATACATATGTGTGATCCCTGGTATCTCACCTCTGACAGTAAGGCGCTCGAGGCCTTTCGGCAGCTGCCCCCTCAGTCGCGGGATGTCAACGATGGTGACTGACAGCCGCTCCTTAGTCTTCCGTGAGCACCGCAGCTCCTTCAGCTCGCTGAAACCGACTTCAGCCGGAAGGATGATCGTGTTTTGGCCCACCCTGGCGCTACCACAACCTGGAATATTGGTCGGTAGTCACTGTAATGTGACAGGAACACTCAGACACTAGCTCAGTGCAACTGCAGAGTATGGGGGGTAACCAGGCCCATGTCTCTCCATTATTGATGACATCCTAACCCGCGACCGCCTGGAGGGGGGGTCGGATCCGACCCCCTCCGTTTTTCACGAATAACTCACGAACCGCTTACGCTATCAACTTGAAACTTCGTATACCTTCTCCTTCATCAATTTGACGGCTTTTGTCAAATTGTTATGCAAATTTTTTCAAAAACTTTTTTAGATTTATCGATTTTATTGATGTAACTACATGTTTTTTTCGTCAAAAATGGCAAAAAAAAATCGCTAAAACCGAGGGTTTAAGCAAATTGCAAATTAAAGACACGAAAAGACGCAGCTCAATAAGTTCTTTAACCCGCGCCCCGTTGAGGTCTGGCAGGTTCCACGTCCTGTTGGTGGGGGGGGGGGGTGCCAAAGGGCCCCCCCCCCCGCGTATCTCCGGAACCAATAGCCGTATCGGAAAAATTCAAACGGCAATCGAAAGAACTCATCGAGATGCACCGGAAAGGATATCGATGACCTTGATATTTAACCTGTGACGTCACAGGGAGGCAGGGGCGGCGCCACGGATTTTTGCCAGCTGGGTCGCAAGCCGAAGTAGAGGGTCTCTTTATAAGAGGGCCTCCTCTTCGCCTCTGGGGCCTCCTTTAAAGTGAACATTGTGGTCATTGGACATTGGTCAGAAAACAGTAGGGGAGACCTGGCCGGTATGGGCCCCCTGGAGATGTGGGCCATGGCAGTTTTGAAGAAGTGTTGCGTGTTTTTACACGTTTGACCACGTAAATTGATAGCAGCCATTCCGTTATACAACCCACGTGAATTCTAAAATCTTCCTCAGTCTCCTTTGGCAATAAGCGATTTTAAAGCGTTTTTGTCCTCTCCGAGTAAAATACGGTGCATACATAAAATTTGTGATTAATGTGAACGAGGCTCGTTTTATCATGTCACAATATCGCTAACATAGAGTTTAAAGCATGCAAATTACGACTGGGTAGACTATTTGAAGCTTTCTTGGAAGATTATGAGCTGAGATGCTACCCGCATACCCGCATTCTGGCGTCCTAACCCGCGCCCTGGTGGGGGGTTATTTTTGCCCCCCCCCCCCTCCAGACTTTTCGATATATTTCCAGAACCGCTGCGATGATCGTCACCAAACTTTCAGACCCTCTCGGACATCAATTTTACACATTGTGACCAAAAAAGTTGCAAAGGCTATGATAGGTTGGCCGGAAATGACGTCAGAGTGACGTCATATTCTGCCGTTTTCGACCCAAAAAAAGGTTTCGCGGGAAGAGCTGTCGGGCCTATAGCTTTGCAAATACAGAAAAACAATAAGAACATAAAAGCTGTAGAATTGACAGGGCTACAAAACTGCTATCTCGGATTTTTGAAATTTTTGGATTTTGACCCCCCAAAATAAAAAAAAATATATTTTTGAATATAATAGCCAAAAAATCCAAAAAATGGAATTTTGCAAAAACCGGAACATATGTGATAGTCCTTATCGCTTTCTATCCACATACCTACCAAATTTGAGATTGATACCTCTTTTTTTGGCGAAGTTATAGCGAAAAAACTGTTCAAAATTGATGACGTCAAATTTTCAAACTCAATTTTTAGCAATTCTATACCCCGTAGCGCAAAACAAAGATCGTCATTAGACTCCCCGTGACGAGCTGCATCGAATCAATACCCATTTTATGCAAAACTATCAACTTTAAAATTTGACCTTTCTTGACATGAACTTGACCTGAACATCACCAAAAAGTGACCTAAGCCGTACCTGATAGTCTTATAACCCGACCATTGAGTTGGAAATGGAAAATTGGCCATAAAACATGCATCGCACAACCTTAGTACCTAAAGTTAGGTTCATGTGACCTGACCTGTGACCCTTGGTGACCTGACCTGTGACCTGACCTGGTATTGTCAGTGACCTCTTATAGCAACATATGTACTAGGCAACTATCGCCCTATCGCTGATTCTCGACAAAACGCGTTTTCTTCGGTGTTATAGCGCATTCCCTAGATGACCCGTGAACGGTGAAACATATCATCTTTGACGTGACCTGTGACGTCATCGGTGACCCCGAGGTCAATGAAACTTGGTTTTCCTCGACAAATTTGACAGGGCTTTCGAACGCCGTTTGAATTTTGCGGATCCGTCAAGTAGTTTCGGAGATACGAGGGTGGGGGCAAAAAATACCCCCCCCCCCAACAGGTCGCGTTATAAACAGACCCCACCATGGCGCGGGCTAACCGGGAGGTTCTGGCCACCCGCCCCCGGTGATCCTAAATCAATAAAATGATGCTGTCATTCAATGTCCTCTTCAATAAGTTTTCTTTTTGTCACGCGTGGTCGAAAATTTAACTACCAATTGCATTCGAACAGAAAAAAATAATTGTCTCATGTCATGGAACGTGATTAAGTTTGCCCAAATAAGCATGTGGCCAACTGACCTACATGAAGTGGGTTATTGGCCGCTTATGCGGTACCTGGGCTCTAAGAGGCCCATCTACGAGCATTGTGCTTAACCCTCGCCCGCACATGCCATTTTTCCATCCTAGAACGCACATGGGGGGTTGCCCCCCCGCGCCATTTCGTTCCTGTTGGAGATAGAGCTTAGCGGTAAGACCAAAAAGATTCTTTGGGAAGAGACGAATCCAATGACACCCAGTTTTACCTTCTCAGGTCAGTCATTGACCTTCCAGGTCAGGTCAAACTAAAAAATGTTACTGTTTTGGGTCACCGTTGGATATCAAGTGCGCTGCTTACCATATACCGATGACTATGCTGTTTTCTGGTGCCAAGCCAGCTAGAACCTCTTTGTCACACTACCCGACCATATTTTTGCTGCTGAGGTCATGTCAGGTCAAGTTAGGTCAAGGTCAATAATATGTGTTTGTATGTTTGTGTGTGTCTGTGTGTATACTGATGTGTGCACCGATTGTTTTTGTGTCCATATTACATGAAATCATGATCTGAGAAGCTATTACCAAAAATGCAGTCAAAAAACTTCACAAAAAGAAATTTCCGCTTACCTAAAACGCAATTATCTTAGATGACCTAGGTTGACCTTGACCTTGACCTTGACATCTGTACATCGTCGAACAACATGTTCCATGATAGTTGGGAGGTAAGACTGGCAAAAAAGGCCGAAATCAAGGTGTCAAAAGCTCACAAGGCCCATAGCCAGCGCAAGATGTTGAGAATTGGCCATTTGGGTCATGACATGACCTGAAAAACAAGGTCATATCTCCGAAACCAAAAATCACAGAAACTTGAAATTTTCAGTCATGGACATCAAGAAAGGATAGAGGAGCAGCTCTACGAAAAATCAGCCTTTTAGCTCTAAAAATGATGAGTGCAGAGCAGAAAGACTACCTGGGGGGGGGGGCAACCCCCCCCCCCATTTGCGGGCGAGGGTTAATGTCGAGAATAGAATATGAAACATAACACCGGCCCATACTTCCCGGGCAATGGGCCATACCTCCTGGGGTATTTTGATGGATCGAAAAAGCGCATGATTTATTAGAAGTTATCTCGAGACAAAATAGTTGATCCCAGGTGCCTAATATCAGGCACACTTTACAGGCGAAAGGCAATTTCACGTACGCAGGGTGAAAAACCAGATCTAGCCATTGCCCACAGGAAGAAAATTGCAATTTCATAAAACCGGCCCATACCTCCTGGGTCTCCCCTACCTATAGCTAGTGTGACGGAAGCCACATTTTTTTTCGAATCACAGCTTACAGGAATTGACAGAATCATAAGGCATGCATATTGGTGTGAGACTAAAAGCCAAACACGCAAAAGTGAAATCATCTGAGAAGAACAGCGCTTCAATTCCCGACACCTTCATGGATAACGCGGGTCAACAGGGCGCAGGCGGCAGATGGTCTACCCCACCTGGACCCGACGTAGCGCCGACCCCTCTTATCGGTCGCACGCCAATTGGGTGGCCACGTCAAAAACGGGCTACACCTGGCACTGCAGAGGTGTAAACACTGCCGCCTCCCCGCCCGCATCTACAGGAAAAGCTCATAACGGAACTTTATCTCTCCAAAGCGCAATCGGCCGGCATCCTGTGCGCCAACCCTCTGCACCTGCGCCTGGGATATCGCCACCGGCACCGCCTCGACCTAGTGGATCGACACCGGTGTGAGCATGTCAAACAAGAAACAGCTGACGCAGGGACCCCTCGGGCCGTATCATGCCGCAAGTGCCGCAAATAGAAGGCGTCAAGCCATCAAAATTACACTCACGCCGACGAAGTTATCAGCCGCCGACAGATGCTAACCAAAAGTCCCAGTCACCCTCCCTGCGGAATCGGAGGTGCAAATATGTACGTCCAGAAGAGCAGATGTTCCGTGCCGAGAGTGGGACACGCCAATGCCCATATCTGGCATTCACCTGACGAGCAGCGACGCCGACGGTCGGGGACTTCTGATACTGGACGGCAGCTGGGACAAATGAGCGTCCAGCAAACAGAGTAATAACTGACGAATTCGCTAATATCATAAGCGTTCGGCCAAAACAGGAACAGCTGGGAAGTTCAATGACCATGGCGGACCATACATACCCGAGATATCGTGATTACAACCAAACCAAGCAATAAAGCGCCGACGCCGGACAGTGTACCTCAGCTTCCCAGCAGAACAAAGGTGTGCACGACAGATGGCAAGAAGATAGCAAAAGTGATAAGCACTGCACCCGGCCGCTCATACTCAGGATTTTCCCTTAATTCAGTATGAGACTCCGCTCGCTTCGCTCGCTCCGTAATAAAATATAAATAGAATATAAAAGACGGTTAACTTCCTCCAAATACCGAGTGTATTC